TTATTTAATTCTTCCTTTCATATTTCAAAATTTAGGTTCCTTCCAAATACCATTCGCCCATTTTTTATGATTTATTTTTTAAATTTGTATTTTTAAATAATTTTTATAAATTTTTCAAAAACAAAATTTTGAATTATAACCTGTAAAAGTTTTGTCATCAATGTAAAGTAGATGTATTTCTAAGAATACCTGCAAAAAAATTAGTTTTTTATTCAAAATTTCCTAAGATATATGTGAATCTACATTTGTTGTATTTAATATAAGCGGTAATAATGATAATGTTTTTTACGCACTTTTTAAAATTATTTGAAAGTATAAATGATGACTTTTTTCCCGCTCGTGGACAATGAAGAAAAGGAAAGGTTGCTATAAATTAAGAAGTTCGCCAAGTGAATTATTCTTGGCGCAAACTGAAAAAAATTCGCCAAGATAAATTTTTAAATTTCTCCATAAATTTCTCACCGAAAAATACAAAATTGAATATCTAAGCATAATTTGAGTCGTAGAATCGAAATATGGAAAAATTGCAATGTTATTTCAGAAAAAGTACGATTTTGTGTCAAAATACCTATGTTAGAACAATGCTAGATATAAATCTAATATATATCCTAAGTCGCATTTTCGAGACATGGAAAAAGCAATTTCAGTTTCGTCAATCGGCCTATTAGAACAGGAGATATAGAATTGTTCTTTTCGCAGTGTACATCAATTACATTAATGTTAATAAAATATTTTATGAAATATCTCTTCTCATTCTTATGTTAATTCTTTAAACGTGACAGTGGAAAACTACCATTTAACTTCTAACCGCTTGCGTTCTGACTATAACTTCCCTGACGAATATTGCACGCACAAAAGAAAAGTAAAAAAATTTCCACCTGGCATACATCATTAGGCTATCTCTTATTGTAGTTTAGGACTGCAATTTCTCATATTAAAGTACTTTGAATCAGGTTAATAAGTTTGTTCTCTACAAATTACTATAGCCTAACCGTTACACATTTTATATCTTGAGCAAAACAAAAACATATTTTCTACATTTTTAATTTTTGCAAATTTATGTGTCAAAACTATTTCAGATTTCTTTCTTTTCTGGTACCTAATTATATTCGACTTTATTACATGGATAAGTATAAATGATGTAACTTTTGAGATGCTTTGACTGTTATCTAATTCATCTTATTCTGCTATTACATTAAAGGCAGACAGCAGAGAAAGTAGTATTAGCAGTATAAGTAGACTGCAGGGAAAGTCTGATTTTATAGTTTCTAGTGCTTTATAGCGCTATCGAAGAGAACGCTGATGTTAAATAGATCGGTTTTGTACCAATATTAATGGAATGAAATTGGATGTAGCCTAGAACACATCACAGATTTTCCATGTGTAAAATAATATTATGAGTCTTCATTTAGCTCGATTTATATAAAACATTGTTATCCACACCACTGCATTTGCTGATGGCAAATATTTCTTCCTGCATTCTTTTAAATTAACGTTTCTTTAAAATTCTTTTAAATTTAGTTTTGGCTCATTCGACTATTAAGAATGCTATAGAAATGATATTTTTTGTTTGCATATACAACTGTATTTTTTGCTTTTTTTTTTTTTTCTAATCTTCTATTTTCAAAACCTTTCTCTTCTTCACATATGCTTCCCAAGATTATTTTACTATGAATTTTATAAGAAAGTTGAAGATGAAAAGTTAATTAGGTCTTTTTTTGTTACACTAATTTCTTCACTATTCTGTAGAGTCATAATGTTTTTTCTGAAGCAGGTGATGTGAAAAATGTGTAATGCCCTCGCAGGTACTCGAACCTAGACCTCTTGAATACCCACGAGTGTGCTACCGTTACATCACGAATGCTGGAAGGAGGAAGAAGATAACTTATATACTCCCTCTTTTTAAAAGGCGACTGGAGATTAGGGACCCAGTCGCCAAATCCTGGTAGTGATGAATTATTGTCCACCACCTTATAGTTCGGGCTCCACTTGTAGAGTCTTTAGGTATTTCTAAGCAGGTGATGTGAAAAATGTGCATACGCGCCAAGTGTGCTACCGTTACACCCCGAAGGCATGCTGAAAGGAGGAAAAATACCTTATAATATTATATAAACCCTTATCGTCCATTAGTTAGTATTTTCTTTATGTTATGTATTAATTAAGTTACGTTAGATTAGTTTATCCTTTATTTGATTACGGATAGGTACACGAGGATCTAAAGCAAGGATTCTCAAGCTTTTTTGTTGCATACATGCATCCCTTTCACCATTGCTACACTATCATTTCCCTCACCCCATTCGAAAAATACATTTACATTTATTTAAATTTAGATTATTTTTTATGTGTTCTATAAACCTGTTGGGTTAATATTTTAAACTAACCAGTTATTTTGTTTCGGATCCTTACTTTGACTTCTCCTGTCCGTATTCTCAGCAGTAAGTAAATGAGTTCTGTAGTATTTAAACTTATACCGCTGATAACACCTTGATTTTGCCACTTCGGTTAAAATTTCCAAGCCAGCTTAGAGTGAAACTTGATTGTGTAGTCTTTGACTACTGTTACTCTTAAATTTGATTGTTCTGTTTAGTTGCATCACCAGGAACTATGACTGATATTGTAAGCATAATAAAGTGCATTTATATTCTACATCCTGTTTAAATAAAAGGATTTATTTAAACCTTTCTCTGACTCTGTATTTATAACTGACATAACGATAATTTGCTTCAAGTACGGTTGGGGTTTTGGACTAATTAACTTATATCATATCAAGGAAAACCCAATAAACCAGAAAAAGTACAGAAACGGTTAAGAAATACCAAAACTTGAATAAAAGTATTTTTTTTAGCCCAAAGAGGCAGGCATTTTGCGTTGGTTCACTTTAAACGGCGTTTCACTTTTTAAACTGTTGCCACCAACTATTAGAGCCCTGTATTATATTTAAAGAAATTAAATAATGAAAAATCTGCAAGAATGTATATATGTTTCTCACACTATGAATGAAACACCGTACCTAGATACATCAAATTTTGAATAACGTAGCCCTCCATTCGAATATTGGCATTTGGAATTTAGAATTTGTTTTACTAATTCAGTTTCATATTTTGCAAAAATTTAACAAAATTTTGATTATCAAACTCAACGATTTCAAAGCGAGCAATGGCAACACTGTACGGGAAAAAAATTATCCCCAGTCTGCGAGACTGTGCATCGGAACTTCTAAATGTACGTATGCTCCTTTTAAATTGTTTTGTTATACTGCTGGTGCATGGAGTTGCATTAAGTGCTAAGAACATGATATTTAATAAATACTGGCAACACACAAAACGTTAAAAAATGCCCCTTTGGACGTAATATAAAATCTAAAATCTTTCAGGTTTTTTTAGATATTCATAAAATAAAACTTAATGCTTAACTGGTAAATAAAAGGCTGGCCGCATTCCTGTCCTTAAAACTATGATATTCCTCCCTCGGGAAGATTTCTCCGTGGTTGAGAACCCTTGGTCTAAAGGAAGGGGTGCGTTCGTGCAGGACTTCCTAAGGAAAACTGTTTCTTATTCATGTTACACAGGGATCAAACTAGGAAAACGGCCTTACTGTGAGCCCGTTTGGCAGAATTTAAAATCGAGTCCAATTACTAATGTCATCAGCATCAGCGCACGTTCCGTTTAAAAATCATTTTGTAAAAGAATGCTACTGTAAAAGAGTTATTCAACAAAATGAAATATTGTAATTTGAAAAGATATAATTTTTACATTATGATTATAATTGCTGAATGAATTTCTCTCCATTACAGACAGATGCGTTCAACTAGGTCTAACAGTAAATACTGACAAAAATTACAGCTTGTATATATTACTGAAAATTTGAATGATGCTGGCATAAACCCCAATTTGTATTTCCAATACAAAAATTAGATACCAGTAAAAGCATTTTTACAAGACAATGAAATAGTCTGTCAGAACTAGAATTATCAGATTTTAATATCAGTAGCTAGTATACTGGTGGCCGCCGAAAACATCGTGAAGAAAAATTTCGCCAGGAAAACTACCCAAGGAGAAAATGCGATTGTGAAAAACATCGTGTAAGAAACGAAAGCAAGGAGAAAACATCACAGCTCTGAAACACCTTTGTAGAAAACAAATCGGAGCAAAAACTTCAAAATTATAAAGCATCACCGTGCAAAATATCTTGCTAAAAATTTTAGCACATAAAAATTATTGCATGATGATATGCATTTCCTGACTGCCAAAGTTTTAAATGAATTTTCGCGTAATGATTTGTGAATATAAGAAGAAGGAAATAATATTTTTACCTCTATATTTCCTATTTTTGTATTAACAAATAAATATTTACTCAAAAAGCAAGAAGGTATCTTAAGCATTCAGCAAGGAGACGCAAAAACTTAAAATTCTGTTTATTGCTATCATTAATTTTTACTAATTTCCAGGTTTTTAGTGCTTAAATTTTCTTGCTTTTTCGGTAAAAATTTATTTATTATTAATAAAATATGACACAATAAGGCAAAAAATATTACTTATTCTTGCGTCTACAAATCATTGCTGAAAACTCACTTAAAATTTTCATATTCAGAAAACGCATGCTGCGATGAATCATGTGATGAATTTTATGTGCTTCCCAGGCGCAGTAAGATAGCTTCCCCGCAAAGCAGGTTAAGGGTTGCCATAAAATGGCAAAGGAAGGCAGGGTTACCATATTTGGCGAAAACATTGGCGATATGTAGCGGACGTACAAACGTAAATTAAGAAAGAAATAACTTAACAACTGGTGTCAGAAAAAAACGAAACAGTAAGACGACATTTTCTCTTTGCATTGCTTTCTACAGGCCGTTGTCGTCCACGGTGTTTTCTTCTGTAATCACTCTTTCTTTATGACGAATGCCTTTTGCTTATGAGTTAACATAACAGTTCTTAATGATTATGCAAATCCTTAAAATTTTAATTTTGTAAGCTTCCTAATGTTTAGTTTTTCTTAGTCCTTACCTTAATGCAAAAGAAGATTGAGAGGGGAAATGTGGCAAGAGCAATAAGCATAGAAAGAGCAGTCAGAATCCATCCACATATTCCTATTCCTGTTTCCGAAGAATCAGCTGAAAAGAAAAAAAAAGGATAATCAGAAATTTTTATTTTGCTTTGTAAAACTTAACATATATAGTTGTTTATAGTACATTTTGAATAGATCTTTTATTTCTACTTTTAATTGGTAACTCTGGAATTTATGTTTACGATCAGAAGATTTACAGAATTGTACACTACGCAAAATGAAAGGGGGGGGACATTTCTGTATCTCCCATTCTACTGGGCCAATTGACGGAATTCAAATCGAGTTTTTCATGTCTCAAAAGCTCGACTTAGGATATATATTAGATTTATATATAACATGCTTTAATATAGGTATTTTGACACAAAATCGGACTTTATCTGAAATGACATGCCAATGTTTTTCCATATTTCGATTCTGTGACTCAAAGTTTGCCTAAATATTAAATGTTGTAAAATTTCTCGTGGGATTTACGCAGGAATTCAGAAATTTGTCTTGGCGCATGTTTGTTTTTAGTTTGCGCCAAGAATAATTCATTTGGCGAACTTTTTTAATTTATAGCTACCTATTTTCCTTTCCTTTTTTTCATTGTACACTAGCAGAAAAAAAGTCATCATTCTTACTTTCAAATAATTTAAATTTAAATGCGTAAATCACATTTGTCGTTATTATAGCTTACAACAAATATGTAAAATTTCAATACGCGCCAAAATGTATATCTTCGAATCATGTATATCTTCGATTCATGTATATCTTCGAAAATTTTGAATAAAAAACTCTAATTTTCTGCACATGTGCCTAGAAATACACTTGTTTTAAGATTATGTTAAAACTTGTATTGATTATAATTCAAACGTTTTTTCGGAAAATGTATAAAAATTATTTAAAAATAAATCATAAAAATGGGCGAATTTTATTTGAAATGAGTTTAAATTTCGAAATGTGAAAGTAAGAATTAAATAAGTTTAATAAATAAAGAGACATTAACAAATACATACCAAATTCAATTAATATTGAGGAGCTAAAGAGCAAATTTTTTAAAAACTACTCGTGCGGTTTTTACAAATGCTGGCAGTTTGGCATAATTTGAGTCGTAGAATCGAAATATGGAAAAACAATTCGCATGTCATTTCAGAAAAAGTCCGATTTTTGTGTTAAAATATCTATATTATTACAATGCTCTACATAAATTTATAACGTATCCTAAGTCGCGCTTTCAAGACAGGAAAAACGCAAGTTGAATTTCGTCAATCGGCCCAGGAGAGCAGAAGATATATAACTGTCCCATTTTCTGTCGCATTGTACATGTATTGTATCACTCTATACATCTAATCCGATATAATTGAAACACCACTCTGCATAATATAATCAGTTTAAAAGACTTTGACATCCATTCACAATTCATAAAGTTTCCAGTATTATAATTTATATCTGTAATAATAATATTATTGAATTAGCTCTTGTGCTTGCATCGTATTATGACCATTCTTTAGGTATGTGCAATGCATCTCACATATTGACTGTAACATAACTCAAGACTAACGTGTTACTCTAAAGGAAGTATAATAGTATTTTAAGGCAGGTTTCAGAGATTTTAACATGCTATCCACACTCATAATAGTTCAGTATTGCATTTGCTTTATTTTATTAGAGATTTTTATGACATCATCTCTTTCAAATTTCTTTTTCAACACGAATATTTACAAACCCTATACGCTGCGCTATACAAAGTTTACCTTTATGATACAATAACACGCCGAACAAATATTAATTTAGAAGTCAAACAACAAAAATCAAGGTTATATTTTCAAATTTTCACAGGACTAGTTTCGATGGCTTTTACCGAACCATCATCCTCAGTCCTGTGAAAATTTGAATATATAACGCTGAATTTTGTTGTTTGACTTCTAAATTAATACAAGTTTACCTTACCAACTTTATTGTTTTTCCTCTGACTACATTTTATGTATATTTTACGATAATTTTACGGAATTAAAAAATGTTGACTACATTTTTTAATTCCGTAAAATCATCGACGGCCCACCAGCGGCCGAACGGTAAAGTCGCTGAACACTGGTAGTTCGGTCAGAGGTTCGAATCCCGCGAACGGGCTGGCTGAATGGGTGTTTTTGTGGTTTTAATCACGTGTAACGTGTATACGAGCCAGTTCCCTTAGAAAGTCCTCCAGAAAGGCATCCCTCCCCGTAGGCAGATAGCCCTCGAGGCTTTGCCATAATTAAATAACCGAACCTAACCTTAACCGTAAAATTATCGTCGTTCTTCTTCTTTTACTACTGAATTAATACACTTTGAAAACAGATTTGGAATACGGTGTGCGCAATTCCGTACATTAAACGAGACTTATCAACTAATATAATTGTTTTATAGAGTCATTAGGTTATATTGAAGAAAGAGGCGTGAAATTTATGCAATGCCCTCACCCGGACTCGAACCTAGATATCTCGTATACACGTCGAGTGTTCTACCGTTACACCATGAAGGCATGCTAGAAGGAGAGTGAAAATACCTTATATACTCTTGTGGCCTGTTATGACCATAAGACCAGCTTGTTTGGTTAGCTGGGTCGGGTCGGGCTACGCCCATCTCTGGTACCTCACATACTCTCCATTTTAAAGGACGACTGGGGATGAGGCGACCCAGTCGCCAAATCCTGGTGGTGACGAATTATTGTCCACCACCCACTTGTTCGAGCGCCACTGTAGAAATATTATGTATTTTTGAAGTAGGAGACATGAAAAATGAGCAATGACCTGGCCCGGACTCGAATCTGACCTTCTCTAAATACGCGCCGAGTGTGCTAGAGTTACATCACGAAGAAGGGAGAAAATACCTTATAGTTTAATTAACACAGAATCGAATCTACCAGTTTTTTAACAATTCAAAGTGTCCAACATCTTGCAGTTTCTTCATTTTACATTTATGAAAAAAAAAAAAAAAAAAAAAAAAAAAGGTTCCAATATTTATCTCCCAGAGATGAATGCAGAAAATATTTCTGTATTTGTCATTTTCGTTTTAAATGTGCATAAAATATCAATCTCAACAAACTCCTTAACAAAATTTTCTTAACCTAAATATTTGTGACTAAAGATTTTCTAAAAGTGAAATTTCGTAAATAAATGATAATTTGGCATTTATAACAGATATTGATCAATAAATACTAAATAATATAAAAGCATGAATCATCTAAAATAACCTTTCGATATTAAATCAAAACTTAGATTTTTTTCCCTCCTTCGAAAGAGGAAATATATTCATAACTTTTAGACTGCATTATACTTTTGAAAGAAATTTTATAAAATTAAACTTTAAAACAAATCCAACTTAGATAAAAACATAACATACCTTTTGCGTACATAGACATGAAAATGCATAACACCTTTCATCAGCAGCTAACTTTCATTTCATTATTTTACCGCGCTCTTTTAAATGAGTAAAATATCACCACGGTTTTCCTACCCTTCTGCTGTTGCTGAATATTCAGCGGGAAAAAAGCCTCTAAAAAGATAATAGTATTGGCAGCTTTTCCTCACGTGATTCCTGTTGTCGTAGCAACAACTCCGCCTCAGAGTTTTTGTAGCGCATAATTATGTTTAAAGGAAACTCCTTAAATATTTGTTTCTAAAATGCTATAAACATTCAGCAGATATTGATAACCGAAAAGTAATTTATCCTACTGTAGAACTGCATCTGATCAACTCTGTGATCGAATTATTCATGGAAAAATTTTTCTGAGAGGTTCTTAAAGTTGTCACGTCGCAAGTTTTAATTTTTAGTCCAAAGGAGCTTTGTCTCTGAGGGAATATTGTTTTCGTTTTGCGATTTTGTGTCGAATCACTTTGAATATCCGTTTCACTTTTCAAACTGTTGCCACCCAATATTATCGCCCTGTATTATATTTGAAGAAATTAAATAATGAAGAATCTGCATATATGTATGTATGTTTCCCGCATTGTGATAAAACAAGGGTATCTAGAGCCAACCAATTTTGAATAACGTAATTCTCCTGCGAATATGGGCTGAAAGCCCAGATTTGAAATCTAGAACTTGTTTTATTATCGATTTCATATTTTGTAAAACTTTAACGAATTTTTGATTAACAAACTTAAGTGGAAGGAGGCATAAGTTCAATACTGCTTAATTGTTCAAGTTTTAATGTTTTAAATTATTATCTCCTTACGAGTTGATATGAAGCACTAAAATCTGAATAATAAAATATAATAAAGTTGTATTTTCATATTTTTTAGTTTAAAGTACTTAATATTTTTTTAGTAATTTTTTAGTAGAAATTTTAATATATTTAACCTTTCAATTTGCATGTTACTTAGTTCTGAAATTTAATAACTCCTTTTATGTTTTATTTTAATTCATTTAAAAAAATTTCCAGAATAATATAATCTTTTTCTTATAACTTTAAATTTTAATTATAATATATAGAGAACTATTCTATATCAAAATTTTAACTATTATACATATATACATAGAGAGAGAACTTTTCTATATCGAAACTGTTTCTCAGTATTGAAATATAAAAGAAGATTACGTAACTCAGCCCTTTCATTACCGTTAGAGATCACCACAGCTAATCCTTCTGTCTCGTTTTTTCTAAAACTCGAAAATACCTATACGTTTAATTTAGAAGTCAAACAACAAAAATCAGTGTTTATATTTGCAAATTTTCACAGGACTAGTTTCGATGGTTTTACCGAACCATCAGCCTCAGCTGCCAAAGCGCAAATGAATGAGATAAGATATAATGATTAGATAAGATAAGAATGGATGGACAGGTGTTAAGCCACTGGCATCATCTATTGATGAAATGAGAGTTAAAATATAATTTAGTTAAATTCTGAAGTCAAAGATGGATTGGAATTAGAGTCGTTAACTAGAACAGAAAGAATTTTTTGAATGTGAAACTCCTCTAGAAAATCCAATTCACCAATGGAAGATGTTTTTGAATGATTTTGGCTGCAGAAAAATTGAAAGTGTGATTTTCGGGCCAACAGTGCTGGGCAACAGAAGACTTCTGTG